AAAGGAATCCTTACACCCGACCACCAATGGACAGGCCCGCACTGCCGCAGACAGGGAGCGCGATGTCAGCGCTTCTCCCAAGTCCACGATACTAGTGAATGGGTCGAGATCTTATAAGGAGAGTACCCCTGTCTCACCGCGGAGGAAGCGAGATACGTCGTCCAAGGCACCTGTTCCTGCGTTACTGTCGCCTCTACACCCTTCCCTACTCGCAGGCGAGTCGGATAAGCCAAAATCGAAGAAGCCGGCAGAAAAGGCCCCACCGAGGTCTCTGAAGATTGACAACTCGAAGAAGAAGTTTGAGATCCCGGCGCTCCTGTCTCCTACTTTGCCTGCGATTGTCGAGGAGGAGCTGGCGCGCAAGTTTCAAGTCACACCGTCCAAGGCTGAGTCTAGAGACAACAACAAGACCCAGCTACCAGATTCACCTAGCATTGCGAGGAAGACCAAGGTGAAGGCCGAGCCTATCGAAGAGGAAGACGAAGAGGAAGAGGAACCAGAACCTTCCTTGATCGTCACGTTGAAGCTCAAGAAAGCGAATGCCAAGAGGGCAAAGGATCTCCTTAGCCTGCCTTCCAAAGCTGTGAAGGACGCAATGAGGAAGGAGCGCACAGCTGCAAGAGCAGAGGCTACCCCTCCCCCTGCTAGAAAACGGCCACGCGCCCCAGACGATACACCCTCAGAATCCGTTGCGGCAAAGCGACCAAGGCCAGCAATTGGCGACACAGTCATCGCCAGACCAACAGGCATGTCCACACCACTCAAGCCCAGCGCACCGACCATGTCCAGGGTGCCATCAACTCAATCTCAGAACGCAACACCCGGACCGGCCCCGACGAGACACCTCACTCCCGGTATGGGCGAGCGCTCATCTGTGCCACCACTCCCTCCCCCATCGGCCGAGACTGCACAGTTCCGCGAACGAGACGTCGAGTATCGCGCATACGGAAGCAAACTAAAGCACCAGCGCGACGCAGTTGACGCACAGCTCCGCGACCCAGCCAAGCTCAAGGTCCTTTCATCAGCCGCCGTCACTCTGGAGACCAAGCGCGCCATGGTCCTCCATATCGAAATGGTCATGGCGTACATGATCGCCTTTTACAACGGCAACCACGCCCGGATGATGGACCGCCGGGCGCCCGATTTCGCCACGTGGGAGTCTCTGGTGCCGCACTTCTCGGAACTGAAGAAGCGCGTTTACTCGGTCCGACCGTTCCGGATCCTCACGACACAGCTCTTCGCCATCATGCTCGAGCATATCACCGCAACCTTCAGCCAGGCCGACCAGGCGACGGCCCCGGCACTGCTTGCGAGGTGGCAGAAGCTGGAGCGCTTGCGACCCGAGGTCTGGTATGAGCTTCATCAAGTGGCCGATTTCGTGGAGGACAAGCCCGTCAAGATGACGGTTGGGCCGTGGACCAAGATCGAGGAGGCGGTGCTCAACGCCATGGGCGTCATGAAGAGATGGGCGGAGATCGAGGAGGTCAAGTGGACGCCTACGATCATGAAACCCGAGATGGCGGCTGAGGCGAAGAAGGAGAAGGAGCTGGGGAAGGACTTGAAGAAGGAAAAGGACCATCATAGCAGCTTACCACCGAAGGAAAAGGAGAAGGAGCACCAGCCGCAGCGTGATAGGGAGCGTGAGCGTGAGCGAGAGCGAGAGCGCGAACGGGATCGGGACCGGGACCGGGAGAGAGAACGTGACCGCGACCGCGACCGAGATCGGGATAGGGGCAGGGACAGGGACAGGGAACCGCCACATCATCGAGAGCCGCAGCGTGATCGCGAGAAGGAGCGCGACAGGGACGCTAGGGTGAGGGATATGAGCCGTGACCGCGTCCGCGACCGCGAACGGGATCGACCACCACCACCACCAAGGGAGCGTGATCCCAGAGACATCATCCGAGGCGGGGGAGTCGGCCATCCAGTCAAAGACATGATCCGCGACCGCGACCGCGACAGGCTGTACAACGACGGAAGATCATCTGCCAGGGGCCGTGACAGAGAGAGGGAGAGGGAGAGGTCTAGGACGCGGGATAGGGATATGGGTGGTGGTGGTGGTATTGGTGGGCATATCATCGGTGGTCGTGGCCTATCGCCGCCGATGCGCTCGGTGGATCTAAGGTTACCGCTGCCGCCGCCTCCGCCGCATCACCATGGGTTACCGCCGCCGAGGACGAATGGGTACAGGTAGTGCCTGGAGTGTAACAGAGAGCCGGGGTGGGATCACTGGTGTGGTTGGGATTGTTGTGGAGATGAGGAAGAAGGTGATGCTGAAACGGAAGAAGAAGAAGGAGAATGGAGGAGGGATGAGTAGCAGCGTGGATGGACATGCCAAAGGAGCCTGGAGGAGCGAGTGCATGACATGGCAATGATACGTATGGAATGGATTACATGGGGCCGAGCGGAAGGGCCTTCATTGCGAACGAACCTTCATTGTGTGAAGGTGAATATGTGTTATGAGAGAGACAGAAGAAGAAGAAACTGAGTTCAGTACAGTTCAGTCCAGTGCAGTATACAGGTCCAACAGTCCATGACGGATGGTACGATAACATAGTACAACCGCAAAGAAGCAGGCGTATGTGTGTACGTGCAGCGAAAGGAGACGGGAAAGTCTCGCGGAGAGGCTTTAGTAGCTAAAAATTCATTTGCTCTACTTGCTCTACTTTACTCCCAGATCTTATAGCAATGTTCGCTCTCGGGTCATCCATCCGAGAGCTCTAAACGCCAAAAAGTGGTTATAAACATAAACTTAACATAGCTACAATTTTGAATCATCATTCATGCGGTGTTCTCTCAAACGAGATCTTTTTCGTGTTTCCCTGTGGTCCTTTTCCATCAGCATGTTTCCTTTGGGGGTTGGAATCTTGTGCAAGGCCTTCTTCCTTTTTTCTTCCTTTTTCTTCATCTCCTTTTCTTCTTTTCTTTTCTTTTCTTTCTGTTTCATTTCTTTTCCGCGTTCCGCGGAGCCAAGTTAAGTGAACATACAAGTAAGTACACAGACAGCAGTTTAGCTTCAGGTTGTAGAAGGTAGGTAGGTAGGTGTCTAGGCGGTGGTTTTGTGTGTGTGTTGTGTGTACGTCTTGTTTGGTTGATGATTCTACTTCCTCTTTATGGAGAAGGGAAAAAAATGAGATAACCTATAGAGGACGAAGAAGAGGAAGAAGAGGAATAGAGACTGCTTGACCTGGACCGGGACTGAACTGGTGAGATGTTGACTGATGTACCCAGAAGGACTTCAAGTTCTGATCCGTGTGACTTGCACGAAGTTCACTTTGTGAATGGCAACATAACACCACTATCCGAGAACGAAAACAGGTTTTCTTTAACTTTTTTTTGATTGTGATTGACATGCTATGCTATCCATCATGAATAACCATGGAATGAATGCTTTCCTTATCCTAACCTCCTTCTCCAATGTTAATCATAAACACTCCGAATATCTATAGCCACAAAGCTTCCCAGCTGAGGTATCGTATCGTAGACAGAGAAAGATATCCTTGACCCATGAATCCCTATTATGTACAGATAAAATGAACTCGTTTCAACCCGCCTTCTTCCTTTTCCTCGTTTCATCTGGAAGTCGGAGGTGAAAGAAGAAGGAAGGCGTTCATTAATGAAAAGGAATAACGAAAACATCATGCTTGGGGAATATTTCACCAACAAGCAGTGAGTGAAGAAGTCCATCCCCATCTTTTCGTCTTTTTCCGCCCCTTCCATATATGCTCATATCGTCAAAAAAGAATGATCGTATGCCCTTTACTCATTCATGGTATCATAAAAACTCCCAGCACAACATCGAGCCATTAAAACGTAGCTTGTCGAAAAACCCGTCGACAGCTAATGAAAGAAAAACAATCCTTCGTTTCCGGCATCGTGCTAAAACAAAACACGTTTTTCGTCATCCAAGCCGAGAGTCGTTTCGTCGTCGTAGTCCAGGCAGAGATGACGCCGTGAAAACGAGGGGTCGAAATGAATCCCCGATTCAAGCTAGGCAATGCATGATAATGATGCCCTGGCTTATCCTGGTAATGCAATTATGGATGCTTGACGAAGAAAAGAATAATTAGTGGTGTCGGTGTCAGGCCAAACTTTCAGGTCCAGAAACACCAACCCAGGTGGTCTGGCCATTCCCTCATAGCCAGAAGGTGAAGAAGAGCATGACTCCGACCAGACCAGCGCTCATACCCGTCAGCTCCTTGTTGATAGGGGCAGGGTTCTTGGTCGAGGTAGGCGAGGCGCTTCCAGCAGGCTGGGAAACCTCGGCTTCCTCGGTGACGGTGGGCTTGGGCGCATTGGTGGTAAAGGTCTGGCCGATGGTGGGCAAAGCAACGTTGCCGTTGATCAACCAGCCCTGGACGCCAGAGGTGGGGCAGGCTCTGGTCGAGACGTGCTTGGCATCGTAGTCGGACCTCTTGATGCCGGTGGGGGTGATAGTCGCCCACTGGCTCTGGAGGTTGGTGAAGTCGGGAAGGACGGGGGTGGGGGTGCCGGCGCGGGTGAAGCCACCCTCGATGTCCTCGCCGGTGGCGGTCGGCTCCAGCTTGGGGCCGTACGAGATCAGGCCGTAGTGGTTCTCCTCCTCGATCCACTCGTAGATGAGCGCGCCGCTCCAATCGTTGATCATCTCAGGACCGAAGATGGCGTTCTGGTCGCCAAAGAGACGGGGGCCAGGCACGTTGCAGCCCGTCTCCGAGAAGAAGATGGGAACGGGAAAGTCCTTGGCCATGCTCTGCAGGTTGGCATAGCCGGACTCGGCATACTTGGTGGGGTCGCACCATTCGTACGAGTTAAGGGCGAAGAAGTCGACGTTCTCGGAGGAGTTGCCGCCGCAGGTGAGGTAGTCTTGCAGCATTGGGCGTAATTCGGCGATGTCGGCGGCTGAGTAACCGATGGGGACCTTGCGATACTTCTTCTTGTCGCGGTAGGCCTTCATGTCGCGAGTGGCAGCCTTGATGTAGGGGGCCGCCTGAGACTGATCGGACTGGATGATGATCTCGTTACCGACGAAGAAGCCCAGAACGTTGTCGTACTTGATAAAGGCATCCATGACCTCAGCGTACCTATCATGCTGGGTCTGGTTCCACCAAGGATCGTTCTGTAGGTATTTATTAGCATCGTAGGCTCCTTTTTGAGAATCAGACTGGAACATACGGGCAAGATGTAGGTGTCAAAGGTATCCAAATCGATCAAGGGATAGATGCCGGCCTTGTCGAAAACCTCCATGCAGCCATCGTGGTTTGCCGAGGGATCAACATGGTAGACACGGATCGAGTTGGCGCCAAGCTTCTCCATGAGGGCGGCATCGCGCTTGCACTGCTCGGTGTCGATCAAGGGATCCGCAGGGGTGAGTTGGTAGGCAATTCCTGGGTCATTGTTAGCCAAGTTTCACGGTGATTGGAGGGGCAAGTATGGGAACAAGAAAAAATAATTACCCTTGAGGAAGAATTGGTCGCCCTTGCTGGTGAAGAACTTATTTCCCACAGCTTCAATAGTGGGGAGCGCATGCGTGACGGCAGCGCCGACCACGGCGGATAGGATTGATGCCTTCATAATGGATATTATGACACAAAAAAGGTACCCGTCCAAAAGATATCGACTGACGACCTAGATGATTGTTGGGGGAGAAGGAAGAGGTAAAAGAATACTACTCTTCACTTTTTCCGTTCGCGGTGAGTGAGGGGGGTGGGTCCAAACGACAAGAGCCGCAAACGCTTTGGTGAATGGTTTCGAGTAAAATGAGATGTGTTCCTGAGGAAGGTTCGTCCCGTCTCTTGCCCGAAGTGGAAGCTCTGCGCTTTTGCTCGACTCGCACTTGCCAAACCGAATTGGAAATTTGCGACAGTGAATGTGTGACCGATGAGTCGCTCCGATAACGAATGCTGGAAACAACACAATGATCCCTTGTCGTCGTCGTCCCAGATCCAATCTCCCAAAACCAATGCGTTTCGTTTCCCGTCTCCGTATTACTGTAACGCACGATACCGAGCCACGACTGACAACTGCGACTGTGCTGATAAAACGACCGATCTGTTGTTGGAGAGATGCACCCGAGCCCTTGAAGAAAAAAGAAGACCAAGCGAGGGAAAACGAGCGAGCGGTCGTGAGTTTTAAAGATACGGAGAAAGAAAAATATGGGGAACGACGATGCGACAAGGTCCGAGATGGGAGTGAGAAAAGTCAAGACCAAGAAGCAGGGAAAGGCGAACAAGGTTGACAGAGAAGGCTGGACGGGCGGGACCCACCCCCTATGTACGTACATAGCAGTACTAAAATCCCGTCAACGTCCAAGTATCTTTACCACCATTTCCCATAGCGATCACCACGCGAACAAGAGATCTGAGATACCTTACCAGGCCCTTGAACCAATCCCGTCCAATCCATATCCAGGTCGATAGCGGACGGCCCAGTTTGACCGACCACACGGCAGAGAGCGAGTCGTCGGCCGCCCATTTCTTGGCTATCTTTGCGCCGGTGACCCAGTCTCGCCGCCTTCGCCTGTATCAGAAACAAAAAAGGAAGGATGGGTATTAGTTGCCGGTGAACCTTGGCAGAGACGAGCAGACGAGGCAGACGCCTTGATTCCGTGAGAGACCTCTGCAGCGACTCTGCAGCGACTCTGCAGCCAGCACCAGGCTGCACAAGCTGCAAAGCCCACTGGCACCATGCAATGTCACGCCGCTAGAAGCTGTGGGCCGACCCGAGTCCTGGTTCCTCCAAAACATGTCCAATTGGCAGAGACGGCAGAGGCAGACACCGAAGAGGGCAAAAGCCGTGGCGGTGTCTGTGTGTGATGCTGAATGATGGAAATAGTGTACAAACAGCAACCGAGTCTTTGCCAGCGAGAGAAAACGCCTTGTCTAATAACGCCAACACCAGAGCCAACGCCCGCCAGCGACCGCCCGTTAGATTATTGCATACAATGTGCTATCCGATGACATGGAAAAGAGTGGCGGTTCATTGTAGATGCGACATCTGAGCATGCGGTTTCTTGCTAACAGAAACGGCAAAACGACCCTGATCTCACTCAGCGGCCGGCGCTACCCATTGAGAAACCCCACGAGACTATCCAAGCTTTCAACCGAGTCAAGCAAGACAAGTCAAAAGTCAGCGACGATCGATTTCTGCAAAAAGAAAAAAGGGACCTGGCTCGCTCGCCTGGGGGGAAAGGAAATCAGCACAAGGTCAAGGGGGATGTGGTGCATTGAGTGGTGATGATCTTGACCGCACCGGGCAGGTAAGCAGAGAGACGGGAGCTGTTTGTCCTCTTTGTTTCGAACAAAGGGAAGCGGGAAAAAACCAACCCCACGCACAACCAAAATCCCCACCACGGCCCCCCAAATCCACATCACAGGGTGGGATGGATGTGGTTCGTCCGTTCCTGAATTCTTGCAAGAGCTCCCATCTCCCCGCCCCACCATGAGTGCAACAACCAGCCACCGCAGGCCGTTTTGCATCGTCTCCATCTTGCCTTTTCCGGTTTGGGCTCTGAGCTTTCTTTCACCATTCAATTCAATTCACCCGGTGGCCGGTGACCGGTCGTTGGTCTCCGAGGCTCCAACTTTGACTTCTCCTTTTTCTGGCATCAAGCCATCAACATGGAATCTCCGCCAAACTCACCTCACCGACTGCCGTGCATATCACCATATCCCCATAGACCTTCGGTTTGCTCGGTCATTACGGGCTTCCCGTTTCCCGTCGTCGTCCTCTTCTGGAAATGTCGTGTGTCGTGACAGAAGCTTCATTTTGACACATCGCAGTCCCTATCCGTGATTGCGCACGTCGAGACAGTGGTCTACATAGCGATGTGAATGTCGGCAGTGGGCATGTACTGTATGTATGCAAACATCCGCTGACTACAGCACACACACAAGAAGTTACACGACATTTTGCCCCTGGGTCTGGACTCTCTCTGGGCCTGGAGGCTTGAATGAAGGTGTGGCAAGATGGCAAGATGCAATTGCTGGTCAATCATCGCTGAGAAGGCAATTCAACGGTCACTGCATTCGAGGTCATCAGAAACGAAACGTTTCGTTTCGTCTCTCGAATTGAGAATCAAAATCACTGGACACAGCATTGGTACTCTTTTCGATGGTTTGCTCAACCAAGGACACCTTTACCGCCGGGAAGGTCTGAACTTCAAACGGCCATCCATTGACCATTGCTTCTTCGATTCCAAAACTCTCCCTTGCGTGGTCGCCATACACAGTACATCCAAGGATCTTAAAAACGCAAGCGAAGCTAAAAAGGTTTCAAAATGGAATGCTTAAGTTGGAAGCGAAGAAGCCTAGAAGGCGGATCCTTCCAGCCTTCTTTTCAGTGTCCTCAAAGATTTAGTTTCCATTGCTGAAACCACTGGCTTCCAGGATTTGTATTTAACCGAGCGAGCAGCGATGCGATGACGTTCTTCGACCTCTTTTACCTTGCCGACCCAGGAACCTAACACCAAGGTGAAGATGCGCGCAAAATGCAACGCCAACAACAGCGCTGCAACGACATCTCCCACCCACACGGCACACGCAACCATACCCTCCCTACCTCCTTTCGGTTTCCGTCAACCGGACTTGCGAATATTAATCCCTTTCTTGGAAGATTTCGAAATGGAACAAAACGTCATTTTACATATTCCGCTTCTGTTGCTTACTTGCCGCTCGCGTTCCAGGGTCCCTACAAAAACGACACCGCCACATACAGCTTTATACAGCGATTCCGCTTCTCTTTTTGTACCAGCTTTGACTTTCTCACAAAAACCTCCATTCTTGGAAGATAGGTTCGGCGTTGACGTCGTCTTCGACCCTATACTAACATCCTTATCACACCCAGTCCTATTCCCATTCCATATCCGTTCCCATTTCCATTCCCATACCATCCAGGCATCCACATCAAAATGCCAATCCCGGTCTTGCGCCACGTGCAGTACATCACTGCGCTGCGCTGCGCGGTGTGGTTACAGACTTGGACCTGCATTATGTCAAGTCAAGTTGCCTAGGTGCCGAGCTGCTGCAGTCTGCCCGCAGTATACCGGTACCTTAGCGCAGTATACCTTACCGCATTACCGCACAGCAGCAAAGAAGTTCGGATTAATGCACCGTAATGACAATCTAGGATCGATCTCGGATGAATGTCCGTTCGTCACTTCGTTTGGTCCTCCTTCGTTTTAAAAGAGTGCCCTATAGGAAATTGGAAATGTCGACAGCTAATCGCTACCAGCTTGATGAACGAGGAAATAAGCCGTGGTATTACAAACGGGAGTACTTGTTTGATGGTAGGATAGGAGAGGCGTTTCGCGGCTCAGTTGCAGTTGTGCAACATTATCCGATGGACTCAGATCTCTGCCAGTCTCGCCAGTGCAGTGGCAGTGGTTTTGCTAACCGCCAGCAGCCAGTCAGCCAGCTAACCATGCTAGTCGTATCAGTCGTACAAGTCGTACCAGCCTCCAGTCCTCGATGACTGATACTTGGTGATATCCAGAAACAATATTCTGACAACTAACTGGTTCTGGCACTCGAGATTGATGATGAATGTTGATATGTACAGAGCCTCAATACCAGTATGTAGTAAGCTTTGCTATTGGCAGTTCATGAATATACCTAGGGTGAAAGCACATGTAATTGATTGGCAGGAGCGGAAGATCACTCCAGATGGAGTGATGGGACACGAGAAAGCGTGGGGGATGAGGCTGGCTGTGGCTTGCGTATTCTGCAGTGTTGTAGATTGGGTATCAGTATCAAAGCTGAGTGGCTGGGAGATAAGATCAACCTACCAGTAGTATCTTGGTACGGAATTTGAGGATGAGGTTTTTCTTAAAAGTTGGAGACATCAATCAGACACCGAGTGAGGAAATTTGGAAGCAGGATTAAGATGTCGGATAAGTGATGGCTGTCGACCATCTAGGTACATAGTACTTCTGAACAGAAGGTAACTGAGGGGTAGGTGGATGCGGTACCTACATCTTACCATATTCAAGCCTTGAGCTCATGTGCTTTTCTTGTATCGTCATCACTTGCTATAGCATAGCAACCTTACCTCTGTTCAACAAATACAAACCACCACATCATCCACCATCCCCGAAGCCTCACGCTGCTCCGGGCTCGGCACATTCTCCTCATTACAGATACCCACACGCCTCCAGAGAAGAACTTCTTCTTCACCCATGCCCCTATATCGTTGGATTATCTACCCTCCTGATCTCTAACCAATATCAACCCCGCCTCATTATATCTCTCCCACTTATCCCTATACCCCACGAAAGTGTGCAGCAACATATTGTTACCATCCGCAACCCCTTCATCCCAACACCAAGTAGTCCTGTGTGGCGATTGCACGCCGCTGCCAATAACGGTATAATATGCGAGACTGCCAAGATCTTCCGCTTTCTGCCCCGGCTTTGCGCATTGGATGTCCCTGCCCTTGACTAGGCCCCTTCTTACACACCCCTTCACAGGGTGATGAGGCGGTCGGAGGGGTAGGTTAAAGATGTGGAGGTGTAAGAGTCTAGGAGGGTGAGGTAGTAGCGACAGAGTTTTGTCAGAGTGAGATTGTCGGCAATGCCGCCCGTTGTGGTTGTGGTTGTGGTTGTGGAGGGAGTGGAAGTGAGAGGATATGGAAGCAACGTTATGAGAGGGGCATTGCTGTTGCTGTGATCATTGTTGTCGTCGAATGTCTTCAATGTGTCCCCGCCGCCGTCGCAAAACGTACGAAACTGCGTCTTGCACGTGATATTATGCGACCGCCAAGTATCGTTGATCTGGTACGACTCCGAGATGGTCGTGCTCCGACACTCCCAATACCGTTGCGGATCGCCGAAATATAGGATCCATGACGAAAGGATGTGCTCCTGGAACACCCAGCCTCGCCAGAGCAGGGAGTTGGAAACGGGTAAAACTCTGATCGAGACGGGCAAGACTGCATGGCGTACATGGTGTGTGTGTCGCATCCGGCTTGGGGCCAATTTTGCATGGGATCACCTCCAGCGGATTTTGTTCGGTGAAGTAGCGGTCGGCGTCCTCGCCCGCTCCGCACCCGCGAGAGCGGCAACATCGACTGCGCAGTTGCCGTAGACCTGGGCTATGGTGACGCCTTCTCGTTCCCAGTCTTTGCGCGCGTCTTGGATGATGCACAGGAGTCGATCCAGATGCAGCGGTAGCCCAGTTCTTGGGTTATTTTCTCGGGGATAAAGAGACGACGGTCTCAGAGTTGTGTGCCGTTGGAGGGATGTGAAACCTGGAATCTTTGTGATTATCCATCATGTTAACAATCATGAAGCGGTAGTAAAGTCCGGGTTTAAAGCCTTACCTTCAATGATTGATATAGAAATATAGGCAATCTCGACCTTCTCACCTCCACAAGTCCCCCAGTCGCGGGCTGTCTTATCCCAACAGTGAGCGCAATGGTTGTGCTTATGAGCCTGAATTGTTTGCAGATCAACTACCTCCCTACTGAGGAACACATAGAGGTGAAGCGGAAACCCGCCTCGATGTCCGATATAGCCATCATCATAAACCATGACAAAGACTGGGCCCTAGTGGCGTTGCTGAGCCTCTGGAAGTGGATGTGCCAGCGAGTCTTGATCTTGACCTTGACCCAAGATCATGGCGCAAAGATGGCAACCGAATTTGGTGGGCTCTTAACACCGTTTGATTATTTTCGCTGTGGATGAATATGCCCTTGTGATCCATCTGTATCGAAATGGATCCGTGAGCAACGCCAACCTAAGATATGTAGCTTTAGGACATTGTCAAACGAGTCAGAGCTGAGTACGTCTGTAGCCGCCACGGTCGCAGTTTCTGATGCTTCTTTGGGGGGTCATAGGTTTAGGGTGTAATATCTCAATCAGTTGCCGGAGCTGATGAAGGCCGTCCATCTTGATCTGTGTAGGCGAGCGACGTAGGCTGGGCGATGCCGCGATGTCACCAGCGGTAGTTAGAACTAGTTCAGCCTTCCCAACTTTAGCCTTCTGTCCTGGTCGGTTGGTCTGCTTCAGACACTCAATCCTCAATAGACAGGGAGATGTTGGATTTTACGCTTGCCGGTAAAGCGTTGGATAACAAACTCTCATGATCACGTCGATTGTCTCGACGAGGACGCCAACTGGCGTTTAGGTTCCACTTTGTGCGGATTGGAATCCATCTTGAAACTGCCTGAAACAAGAAGGAATACGATTCTGGAAGAAGAAAGGAAGAACAATGTGATGATTGAAGTGAAGTAGAAGAAGAAGGAAGTGACGTTGAAGATGAAGCGGAACAACGTCAAAATGCGTGCATAAACAGGCAGGTGGAGCCACGAGGTGGGTCTCACATCCCCCACGTTTTAGCGGCAGGAGCGGTTTGGGCGCTGTCTTGGCATGGCAAGTGATGCCAAGCCTGCTGTGGTCATTTCCTTGGCGTTTCTGGCGTTGCTGAATGTTTGTTCGACACTCAGCTTTTGTGACTTCCGTTCTTCCTCCTCTTCATCTTCCTTTCTTCTTCTCATCCCTCCGCAACGACGATCGATTTCAATTCAGGAGTTCGATATTGTCCCACCGCATCGAAACACTTGCAGTCTGGAAATATCATACATTTACTTATAAAATAAGTCCGACCTCGAACCTACTTGCTTGTTGCATCGGAAATGGCCGGGCATGCCTGGTGTAAGGACACTTCACCGCCGAAGCCGCAAATAAAGGCGGTGGCCGATCTATCGGGATTCAAAAAACACTGCAATGCATCCAACACCGTATCTCCAGCTTCTCACGACGGGAAATTAAACAAGCAACGTTCGGCTGGCTGGCTCATCCAGGCTCCCAGGACATCCCATCCCGTCCCGTCCCGTCCAGTCCGCCATCTAATGATCATTGTCTCACCATGACGAAAAGAGGCAGCTAGTTGAAGAAAGAGAGAGCAGCAGCTGATCCTTTTCTATAGTTCTGGAACTGATTACTGATATCGTCTGCTTGAGAACGACCGCCACAGACCCAACCAAGCGGTTACCAGGGTATCTCCTTTCTTTCCTTCCTTGTCTGTTTTCGTTTACAGTCATCGCCTGTCAAGGATGAGTAACGGGAACATTCCATGTCCTGACGGCTCATTCACAAAGATGGCTGAGCATGCACCTCTACAATACCAGAAATTGTCACATCTTTTATACTTCAGGGTGTTTCCGTCCGGTTGCCCGCCCTACGCCCCCTTGTTTCCGTTCCAAAGACAGTCCCTTTGTCACTTTCTGAGCTCAACTCTGACCATTTAGCTGGATCTGGATCGCCGGTTTGGCCGCTACCTAGCTACCCATGCCATGATAAGAAATTCTTGGTGGTCGGGATTCATCCAAGAAGCACCTGTTTTCCAGTCGAAACATGTGGATGGATGTCAAGGGATGAAGGGTTGCATGATGTTGTGTGATGGGCATCTATCTTTTGACGCCTAAAAGAGAACCAAGGTACACAGATGCGTGCCTATATATGTCTTTCATTACAAGTCTTCTTCAACGACATCAAATTCAGCCAAGGTTCTGCTTTCTTCGCCCGACCGTCACAGCACATGCGTTGCTTTCCATATCTGCCAGAGCGGGAAAGCATGTGCACAAAACCAACCACATACTAGGTTCAACTTATCGACCTTCGGCATCGCCCAAGTAACGACACTCTTCAATACCAAACAATGTTCTACACCGAACGCACAATCGCCAGCACCGTCACTCTCGACCTTCTCATCTCCCACCTCGCTGCGCAACACCATTCCCGCGCCAACGACTACTGGAAAAGCATCAAGCTTCGAGCCCGGCGCATCTTTCTCATTTTGCTCGATCTTGGCGTCGCATCACAAGTATTCAGCTTCCTTGACCAAGGGTGGGATGATTTGCAACTTCCATTTTCAAGGGAACAGCTGCCCGAGCTGCCATTGACGGGAGAGCTTGAAGCACGAGATGAGAAGTTGGAAAAGAGGTTTTATGAGAGGCAATGGCGGTATTGTTAAGAGATATCAATGAAGGGGATTGTGTGGAGTTTGCTGAGGAAGAAGAGGTTCCTGTCGAGGTAGTCTCAGCATTCGGCGGCCCAGAGGGTTACAGGACTGGGGTTAGAAAGGGCAGCCTTCAGCATGTCCAACAAGTGGTTACGGGTCATGTTGCTGGATTTGGCCTCGGGCAAGGTGGGAGTGCTGGTGAAAAGCCGACCGCTGTGGAGGATAGGGTTACGCTAGCCGATCAGCCGGCTGGAATGGTGTTCACTCGACGACGCGTGCCACTGATCGGGTCGAAAGAACAACAGTCGGGTGGACAAGAAGGGACGGCGGGATACGCATCGATGATGATGAGGGAGGACTTCCTCCGTGAGGTCGTGGCTATCAGGTGTCTCAACCTACACAACGAGCACCTGGCCCGTTACTTCGCATCCTACACACATCTCGGAAACGGCTATATGCTTTTCACACCCGCTACGACGGAGCACACGTTCAAGTCGATACTGAGCAGCGGAACCCTTCCATCCTCCGTCAAACATCTCGAAAAAGGACAACAAAGGCGGCTAGTAATGAACTGGATCCACTGTCTAGTCGACACCGTCTGCTGGCTGCACAGTAAGGGATTGGCACATGGCGCCGTAAAGCCGAGCAACATTTTTCTAGCAGAACACAACAATCTCCCTGTTCTGGCCGACTTTCATACCAGGACTAATCCTACTGGACCAGTAACAGACAAGGGCCAAGCACAACACTTCGACAAGGAAGCATACGACTACGCCGCCCCTGAGCTGGCGCGGTATCACCGACCTACACAACCATCCACGGCCGCGAACATTTCACCAGAAAGTCGGAGGGGCACGGTAACCAGCCATGCTGCCCGACCTTCTACCTCAGCTTCAATCTCGCGCCCCGTATCACCTTCATGGCCATTCCATCATACCTCCCCGGCGCCGAACTACCATCTGCCCTCCCTTCCTCCCCTACGTCTTCGCAAACTCACCACCTCCAAGCCCTCCAAGAAGCAGACATTTTCGCCCTGTCCTGCATTATCCTCGACATTCTGTCTTTTCTCGTCTTCAAAAAGCAAAATGGTGTCCGTGCCTTCGCCGCCCACCGCGCGGCTAACCCCAAACACAAAACATCGGGGAGAGGGGGTGCGTTACCGGATTCGAGTTTCCATCGAAACCTGGACCAGGTAAAGAGCTGGATGGCGGCGTTGGTGAGAGCGGCCGAAGAGAAGGTTGCCGTCTCTAAAAAGAAGAAACACACGTTTGGCGGGATAGGTAGCAAGTTGCATTTTAGTGGGGTTAGCCTGCATATGGGTTTGGGACATGGACATGGACATGGAGCAAGTGGAAGCAGCAGCAGCGATGAAGGGAGCGATCACGGATACGGTGAAAAGAAGGATGCCCTGGAAGGTGTAGGCATGATGGTCAAAGTGATGGAAGGGATGCTGAACCCTGATCCAACGCAACGGAAAACTGCGCTGGAAGTGCAAGGAGGCACTTATTTGGCTTTGAGAGAAGGGTGTGGGATTGACGAACCGCATTGTGTGCATGGGCACGGCCCGTCCCCTCTAGGCCGGTTGACGACCAAAACTCCATCTCCGACGAGAACTCCGAAGCAGACAACCCCGACGCCCAGTATGTACGGCGGCAGGATGAGGAGCAACAGTGCTATTTCGATGACATCAGGGTCACCATCAGCAGCGTCAACTTCTTTCCCTGTCCCCGGGTTAGGATCTCGTTCCTTTTCCATCTCTGACATGGCATCCGCTTCCCGCTGGTCGCATTCCACGTCTTCTCGCTCTTCCACCTCTTCCTCCTCCTTTGGCTTTCCCCATGGCTTTTTCAGCAGCATAGGAGGAGGCCAAAGCCACAGCAGGGGCAACAGTCATGAGTACAAGAACGGGCAACCAAGACAAAGAAGAACAAGCAGCCGAGCCAGCGGTCCCAAACAGCTACTTACAGTGCCATCGTCCATGTCCTCGGCCACGCTATCGCTTCCTACGAGGCCTAGGACCGCGACTCCCACTGCCAGTTCCGCTTCTACTATTACTCAGCATCACCAGCAGCACCAGCAGCCGCAGCCGCGCGCAAGCGTTTCTACTTCGAGAGGTATGCCTGCTCCAAGGAGTCAGAGTAGCACCCGGGCTCAAAGCCAGAGCCGGAACCAGAGCCGGTGTGGTTCAAGAACAAGGGGTGATCACCATCAAGACGGAAATGGCAATGGACATGGACACGGACAAGGGGACGGAGAAGCAGGACATACGATCTGGAAGAGGATTCTTTACGCTGGCAGTGGCAATGGCACCGTTAGCAGTAGCGGGAGCCACGGCGACAATAATAACAACGAAAGCAGGAGTGGCAGTATCTCCAGTCATCATCACCCTCCAGAGGCGGCTACTCCTGCGACCACTCCTGCGCCCGCCGCTGCTCTCGTCCATCAGAGCTCGGCCTCGAAACTAGCGGGGAGGCTGAAGAGAAAACCGGAAAAGGCCACGGCCAAAGCCACGGCTAATCCTCGTGGCGTCGGCGGTGGCGTCAGTGCTAGCTCTAATTACCGCAGAATGAGCAGGTCTAGTTCTCAGACAAGCCTGACAAGCTTGAGCTTGACGAAGTCGTGGAGGGAGAGGAGACATGGGAGTGGCGGGTCGGGGACGGCGCTGTTTGGGGTTTCTGCTGCTGGGAGTTAGGTCCAGGTGATAATAATTGGCGAGATTACTGTGGTGGGTGAGTCGGTGATGGGTGAGCCGGTGAGTGAGGGAACGAAGATGGAAAGAGAAGAAGAAAAGTGGATGAGCATTGGGTAATGTGGAAATGGTGCTGACGTATTGAAAGATGTTGATGTCGAGGTAGCATAGATGATTATCAACAGTACACAACTATGTGTTATGTTATACCTGCCCAAGTATTTCCAATGCCTTTGTCGCTGAGTGACTGGACTGACGTCCCTGTTCAAATACCTATCTCAAAAATACCCTCATCATTGGGTCCAATACCACCATCTGAGTAGATCTCATCTTCCTCAACCTCCGCAGCATTTCGAAGTCATGGCTCCGGTACCATCATGGAAGCCAAGCTAATTTACCTCCCAGGAGTCAAATTGAAGTTGAGGTCTTGCTCCATTCCAGGCAACTTACCAATCAATCATCACCATCACATCATGACAATCCCCTAGACCATGAACACTGACCTCAGCACCAGCATCCTTTCTTGTTTAGCCCCTGATCCGTATTCTATCAATCCAGACTGGATGCTTCATGAATCTCTCAATCGAAAACATGCAAAAACAAGCAAAAAGAAGCAAAAAGAATCAAAAAGAAACCAAAAGAAACCAAAAAAGAACCAAAAAAGACTGCGCAGTCCGGGATTCGAACCCGGGCCCCTCGTTATTCTTCCTATTGAAGGAGGAATGGGAAACGAGAGTGCTAAACCACTACACTAACCGCGCTTTTTGTTTGGTTCTGCTTGGTGAATGAGTGGCAAGGAAGGTTGGACTATAAAGGGCAAGTAACGGGAGCTCTAGGAAGGAAGGCGCGGTGGTAAGGGCGGGCAGGAGTTGTTTGCTGTCCGGTGTCGGATGTGGGCTGCCGATGAAGAGGAAGGGGGGAAGGAGGGAAGGAAGGAAGGAAGGAGGGTAGGAAAGAGGGTCATTCTAGATTAGACAAGGAGCTCATGAGTGAGTGTTGAATCATAAACAATATCAGCCAGACACAAAGGTCAAGTAGTCTGTATGTCAGCGATTGAGGGCTGGTAGGTGATTTGATGCGCAGGATCTTTGTCTGATATGTATAGGTCCTTCCTCGCTTGGCCCCATGCATGTTGATTGCTCAAGCATGTGAGAATCAAGTCTTCTTGCTGCTGTGTTTGGTGAAACGGCTTGAGATCAAGGGCTTGAGACAAGACTTATCTGGGAAAACATTAGCCAAACCTCACTGAGTTTTGGTTTCTAAAGCGTATGCAACCATTCACTAAGCCTATATAGCTCTTCGGTATGTTCACATACCCGAACATTTTCTATATGCGAGATGCGAGATATGCCATCTTTACACGCTTTCAAACATGCCACCTTTTACAAGCCTCTCCGTGTCATTGCACATTTTTAAGCGACCAGCGCGAGTACACATCCCCCTACTCTTTCATGATATTCATACACCTCGCCCTTCCTTCCTTCATTGCCCCTTCTTTTCATCACCACCCGCCGCCGCTGACCCCCTACTTCTCCCCACAAACGTCTTCATAGAAGTATCAACCTGCGCCAACCTCCTCGCAATCTTCTGCAGCCCAACGGGCAAGACATTATACCAATCAATCCACCTTGCATACAACGGCATGCTAATCTGGGTGCTCAAGCCACCATCAATAGCCGCAATCACCTCCTTGGCCACGTCCACTGGCTCCACCACGGGCGCAAAGAAGCTGTTGGGCGTCTGTACCCCGTAGAACAGCGGCGTGCTCAGCTGTCCCGGCGTGACCAGGACGGTGCGGATGTTGGGGTGGGACTGCGCCAGCTCGACGGTCAGGGAGCGGTGCAGGGCTGAGACGCCGGCCTTGGCGGCCGCGTAGTCGGAGAGTTGGGCGGCGGCGACGGTGCCGATGACGGAGGAAATGGTGACGATGGTGCCGCCTGTTTGGGAGGAGGCCATGTAAGGCAGAAAGGTCTTGATGGTGTAGAAGTGGGAGAGAAGGTTGGTGGTCAGGGAGCGGTCGATTTCGTCGAAGCTAAGGTCGAGGAGGCGCTTGCCGAGGACGATAGCGGCGTTGTTGATGAGGATTGTGGGGGTTCCGAGCTGTTGGTAGATGTTAGCACCGGAGGATTGAAAAATATAAAGTTGCCGGACACAGAAAAAGGCTTACATCTCTCTCAATCTCCTTCGCGACCTTCGCAACTTGCGCCTTATCAGACACATCGCACTTGTAGAACGTCACGCCCCTCGCCTCCCCATTGTCCATCTCCTTGACATCCAGCACGGCCACGGTCGCACCGCGCATGCCATACACCTCGGCAATCAGCAGACCCAACCCGCTGGCACCGCCCGTGATGACAATAACCTCGTCGCTCAGGTCTACTTCGCGTGGCAAGCCGTAGGCGATCCGGTTGTTGATGGTTATGAAGATCCAGCTGAGGGTGATTATGGAAGCCCATGCGATGGAGACTAGCATTGGTGGCGCGTCCCAGAACATGTTTTGAGCCCGGAAGCATAGCGGGATGATCCAGGCGATAAATGGGTGGAAGAAACTCGTTTTGAGGACCTTGACGAGCAGGTCGATGGATAGGGGCGCGAACCAGGAGTCGCGCTGGGGCGGCATTGCGTATGGCGACGACATGTTGTCTGTCGGTATTTCGGCGAGTCGCCGGGAGTTGGTTGGGGTGTTATGTTGGTTCGAGTGTCGGGTGTTGAGGACGGGAGGAAGTGATTGTGTTGGTCTGTAAAACTTGTTGGTTGTTAGTCAAAGGTGTAGGAGGATAAGTAGCTTGGTGCCATGCCGAGGTACAGTGACGTACCTACGTGGTGATATTGCTGTTGCTGCTGCTGTTGTTGTTGTTGTTGTTGTTGTCGTCGTCGTCGTCGTTATCGTGAGCGCAAACAGCAATTGAGTTGCGATTAAGCTTGGTATGAGGTAAAAGTTCAAGCGAGACTAAAGATCAGTACGGGGGAAATCTGGGGAGCATGATGCAGAGAGCTTCTTTTTGAGACGGAAGAGGAAGTGGAGGACAGATGGGATGACATCGCCGAGGGACCAACAAGGTGTTCCAATTTCTTATGTCATGCCAGCGCCCAGACAGCCCAGAGCTTGTGAAACGCTAGAAACACACGGACCCAAGCGCTGGACCCCTGGCACACGTTTCGACTGAGCCGCTGTAACATCCCTGCAGATCGTGCCTGCTGCAACGAATCAGTGGCTCGAAACAGCGACTTTCCCCTCTGCGGCTGCTGAAGACATGACATGTGGATTGAACTCCCGAACGTCTGGGGTCAGACGTCGTCGGTAGTGCAAGGTACCGGACCTCCGACTACTGTACATCATCATCTTCAATATCGCTTGCCAACAGATCATCATCCTTCAGCCCTACCGCACCCCGTACTAGACCTCCATCCGCTGTTGTTTTACGACTAGCAAATCTCACCTGGTAACATTCAGTTCCACGACATGAACAGCAACAACGACACGGCATCATGACAGACAACCCAGAAGAGCCCTTGATCGCCAACTCCCAGTCGACGGAGGGGGACCAACATAATGACAGCCACGATGTCGAGCACGCGCATGCATCCCGAGGAGGAAAACAGAACATAACACCACCAGGCCTGTTTATATGGCTACTTACATTTTCCGCCGGAATAAGCGGTCTACTATTCGGCTGTACGTTACTCCCCGATCCAGTGCTACCAACCCGCACCCTCGCCGGTCAAACATAACACACAAAGACCACAAGACTAACACAACATCCTCTTCCCCAGATGACACAGGCGTAATAAGCGCCACCCTCGTCTCCATCGGCACATCCCTCTCGCACCGCCCGCTAACCTCGCTCGACAAATCCGTCATCACCTCGTGCACCTCCCTCTTCGCCCTTCTGGTCCTACCCTTCGCCTCCTCGCTCGCCGACGACCGAGGCCGCAAGCGCGTCGTTCTCTTTGCCGACACGCTATTCATCATCGGCGCCCTCTTGCAAGCAGCCAGCCGCACGGTCGAGATGATGGTCGTCGGCCGTTCGGTGGTCGGCGTGGCCATCGGCGCCGCCAGCTTCGTCACGCCGCTGTACATTGCCGAGTTGGCGCCTGCGACGCACCGCGGAAGGTTGGTGACGATGAACATCGTGTTTATCACACTTGGCCAGGTGGTGGCGTACGTGGTGGGCTGGATTTTTGGGACGTATGGCAGTCCGGAGACGACGGGGTGGAGGTGGATGGTTGGGTTGGGCGCGGTGCCGGCGGTTGTCCAGGTGGTTATCTTGTTGTGGATGCCGGAGAGCCCGAGGTGGTTGGTCAAGGAAGGAAGGTCGGAGGAGGCGAGGGAGGTGATTGCGAGGATTGCGGCGGGGCATGATGCGCTGGATCCGGAGACGAGGAGGGAGGTGGATGCTGTGTTGAAGAATATCGAGATTGAAGTCAGGGAGGAGGCTATGGCTACAAGACATGCTGTGCCTGGGGCTGGGGCTGGGACTACCAGTGCGGTGAATGCGTGGATGGAGGCTATGCGGGAACTGTTTAGGGTGAGGAGGAACAAGCGGGCGTTGGCGATTGCTTGTCTGCTCCAGGGACTTCAGCAGTTGTGCGGATTTGTGAGTACACCCGGGCTGTGACCGTGACACTGTGCATCCTTGTGTGATGGGTTACTTGTGCTAATGTGATTACTTCTCTAGAACTCGCTCATGTACTTCTCGGCCACGATATTCACGATGATCGGGTTCTCGGAACCGACCCTGACCTCGCTGGTCGTGGCCGTCACCAACTTTGCGTTCACCCTGGTTGCCCTGGTGTTGATCGACCGGGTGGGAAGGAGACGCATCCTTCTCTGGTCTCTTCCCTTTATGATGGCAGGCCTGGTGCTTGCTGGCTACGGGTTCTCATTCATTGAGCTTCCGGATTCAGAGACCAGTTCGCCCACGACAACGGGAGCCCAGGGCGGGGCTATCATTATTTTGACGAGCATCATGCTTTACGTGGCTGGCTACGCCATCGGACTGGGCAATGTGCCGTGGATGCAGAGCGAGCTGTTCTCATTGAATGTGCGATCTGTGGGCAGTGGTGTTGCAACGGCAACCAACTGGAGCGCCAACTTTGTGGTTGGACTGACGTTCCTGCCGCTGATGGAGGCCTTGTCGCCGTCTTGGACGTTTGTCCTGTACGCAGTAATTTGCGCGGTTGGCTATGGCCTGATTTGGAGGGTATACCCTGAAACCGCAGGGCTGAGCTTGGAAGAGGCGGCGACCCTTCTAGAAGCAGATGACTGGGGGGTGCGGTAGGTGGTAGGGGTTGCATTCAGCGTGTACCATGTTACTTGTTGAAGCTTGGCCAAGATTTGCCCCTTTTTGTTTTGTTTACTTTTACGAAGACTTGAGCGAAGCGTGCCGTGCAAGATAACTGGAGATACTATCTTATCTTCAACAATATCAAAGATCTGGATTGAACATGGCGGCTATTGTCTAGCGAATGACAACAGCCGAATTAACGGTGAGGCCTCTCGCTCCTAGAACCCAGTCGTGTGCCACGCTAGCCTGATGGATTTTTTTGTTTGTCAATTTCCCATCCAGCCCATCCACTGGGATGGCGACGATGGTATCAGCGAGAAAAAGTTCTTTTGTTATTTGTGTCGCTCGGCTATTCACGGCAATTGGCGGAAGCGTGGCCGAAAGCTGAAAACTGCCAGGTTGTGCCCAAATCCTTGCCAAGAAGTGGACAACCGGCCACGCAAGACGCACATGGTAGTGGAAAAATTTTGAAACTTTGTTCGTCGGTCGGGAATGGCATCATGCAGTGGCGTGAATCAGGTTACCAAGCCGCAAAAGAGAGAGGGAGAGAAAGAAAGTCCCGAATAAGAATTTGAAATTCACATGAGCCTCAATGGTTGATTTGAAGTCCAAACAGAGAACGGAGCCACCCGACGTTGGAGCTGCATGTTCTCCTTGGCAACTTGGCACCCGCTCAGCCGCCGTGGCACCGCTTCATTTTGGCATCTTCTCGTCACATCTCGTTGCATCTCCCGTCCTTCTCCTGCATTCAATTTTTTGAAGAACGGGAAAAGTGGACAAGATGGAAGTGGATGCAAATGGTCCGAGTGGGTTCAATTCCGGCGCGGCCAAGCCTCGGCCTATTCCGCTCCTGCGTTCAGACAGACGGAAGCACACAAAAAGTTCGGCTCATTGCTCACCGATAGATTTTGGATGCTCCATGCTCCATGCTCCATGCTCCATGCAGCAACATCACCGGCTTCCATCCCGGCGTCCGGCAATGGATTCACCGCGTGGATTATCTGGGGAAGTTTGTTGGAGAAAGAGTGGTCATGATACCAGACGGCGATCGAGACAAGCGACAAGACAAGACAAGACGGGACACGGATCTGTCCTAACAAAAGCCACAGCCGCACTCTTGGGTGTCACCACTTTCAACAGCCTTTGCATAGTGTACATCTCAAACCCTTTGACGTAATTTCGCAGCCTCGGTAGCACTGTAGCACAAGAAGTCAAGAACGAACAACCCAAGAAGCCAAGACAGAAGCTCGAGAAGGCCAAGCACTGTCAATGTCAGCCGTCCTGTCAACGCTGTGTGTGTCGGTTTTCGTGTCAAGATCACACCTCCCTCCATCGGCTTCCGGATATAAAAAAGCCCACACGGGGAATCCTTACTGGCCCGATTCGATTGGCGATTGTCTTAGCAGAGCAGACACCGCACCGCACAGCATGAAAACTGACAAATCCAAAAGCGGGTCATAGACTCTTTTCGGAGCAAGCACAACATCCAGACGTCCTCTTTGTTTATTAGGTGATCGCTGGAGCTGGGGAAGCCAACCGGCAGTCCGCGGCGGGTTCGGTTTGCAACAGTCCCACGGGAACAACGGGGGAAATATCATTCGCAACAATGGAACAAAGCCCCAAATACGAGCATCAGTATCACCGCCGATGACAGAACAAAACACCTTCAAGCTGCAACCGGAGTTTTCTCGTTAACAAGCACAAGCACAAGCACGACCTCGAAACATTACCGGCAATTGGTTGTTGGTCTTTTCTTTTTCTTTTTTTTAAAAAAAATATCCGTCGACCGTCACAACGCCAACAACAAACCCCTGGATGAGTAATGTCCCATTCCGCCATTCCACGTACGCTGCCTAGGCTGCGGTCTGGTCTGGCGGTAGGTCTTCCCAAAAGTGGTCCCGATGCGGTCCCGATGGATGGGTGACCGGTCGGGTGTGGGCTTATCTTGAAGCCGCTAGTTTCTACTGTGTAGAGGTTTACCGTTCCGAGGACTGGAATCCCTGTACTTCTTCACCTAGACTCGAGCTGGATCATGGGTTCGAGATACGAAGCTTGTGTGTGTGGGGACTCCACCAGCTGTGTTGGTGTTGGGGTTATTTTTTGTAAGCTCTGCCGCTGCTGCACATCCAGTTCCCTTTGTCGTGATCATTCATCAATCCCCAATTGCTGCCCCATTGTGGAGTTCGGGCGAGGAGAAACAGTGAAGATCTTTTTTTTGTTCGTTGCTGCTTTGCTGCACTTGTTGGGGCCTTCCATTTGGGAGTTGGGGCCTGACACCGCCATTCGAAGGGTTGAAAAAGAATCCATGTTCCAGCCTCCCATCAGCGCATCGCGGAGATGAACTGAGGGAGGCTCCAGTGCTCCAGTCGACGATCGCAGGCTGGGCGATTTATAATGGGTGCAGCACACGGCATGCGGAGTGACGGAGTCCCGTCTTCCCGTCTTTTTTGTCCATGATGATGCCCCGCCACTGCCACCACTCTTTTTTTTTGTTCTTTTTTGCCATCGGTCCATCATCATCCATTCACAGCACCCACCAGTCACCACCCATCTGCAACAGAACAATGTCGAAGAACATGCAGTGGTAGCGTTGGTAGCATTGAGCATTGACGCCAATCTTGCCGGCGGGTTTCAATCGAGCCTCATAGCCTCGCACCAGTTCATCCTATTTTCCTGCAGCAAATCTTATTTTTCTTTTCTTGAACATGAGGTTGGCAGGATCGGGGATGCCGGCCAACCGCGGCTTCTTTCTCTGGCAGCTGGGATCTCTGCTATCATAATCATTCCTGCTGATGGTTCCCTGTACTGTAGCACTGCAGCACCAACCGAAGAACCGCCCGGGCGCCAGTCACGGGTGTTCTTGTGCCACAGAAACCGGTGATAGGGACAGAGGCGAGTGCCGAGTCCCGGGCCCCTTTCATAACACACACTGCACCCACCACCCGTCACGAATCCCTCTGCGAAAATCTCTGAAAGCCCAGGCTCCAGTTTGTGGAAACTGTGGGCACCGTGGGCTGGCTGTGGATCTGTAGTGACAAAAACCCTTGTTCCCTGCCTGTCCTTGGCCAGGAGGCCCAAGAAGAAGAAAAAAGGTACCGATATGGTCAGGATGGTCCCAGAGAAAGTCCCTTTCGAGTGCCTCCAGGTGGTGCACGTCATTCATTATTTATACGGCAAGGGATCCCCTCTTACCTTCCTCTCCTTCCCCGGATGAACGACTTTTTGGTTTTGTTTCCTTTCTAGTCTGTAGTTGAAACCTGACCTTTTTCTTCACTTCACCTTACAGTACCCCCTTCCCCCATCAGGTTCCAGTTTAGGAATAAAAAGTTACTACAAGTCTAGTCTGTTGGCTTGTTGATCGACTATCGTCCCGAGCCGAGGTCCATCATCAGGTCCCCAGTTCACTACTCCGTTTTCGATCTCACTTGGATCTATCTCACTTGCTGTGTATCTTGTGTACAAAGAACAAAAAGTACATTAGTCAACTTATAACCAGTTTGCCACCTGCCTATCATATAGGTTAGGTATTGGCATCAGCCAGGTCCCCCAGCTACCCAGCAACCCGATCAACAACCATCCACAACACACAAAGCTTATACACAGGAGTCACCATGACGCTCACCGAAGCCGACCGCGAGATTGCGGCCGCCGAGATCGATGCCTCGCCCAAGGAGTTTGCCGGTCAGGCGTTTCTCGCTCGCCGTAGCGATGAGGTTGAGAGGGTCATGTCGGCGTCGTCGGTTTCTACCACGTCTTCCGAGGAAAGGCAGAGGAGGGCGAGACGTATGAGCGGTGTTTCGACACAACACGACCTTGAGAGGCACCCTACCGAGCTTAGTCGCATCCAGACCCAGAGGAGTCAGCACAGCGGCACTGTTGGGAGGACAGGAACCAGGGGAAGCAGGACGAGAAGCAGGAGGTCCGAGAAGCCTCTTCCCCCTTTCGGCGCCGGAAAACCCTACCCACCCCAGCTGCCCGATCCGGATGAGTATGTGGTCGAGTTTGACGGTCCCGACGACCCCATGCACGCCATGAACTGGCCCATCAAGAAGAAGTAGGTTGAAACAGCTCTTTCCCGGTTCCCCTTCTATCAGAAGACTAACATGACTCGCTTAGGTTCTTCACTGCCGTTATTCTCGGCTATACTACCTTCGTTGCTGCGTTCGGTTCGTCCATCTTCTCCTCGGCAACCAGCTCCATCGCCAAGATCTACCACGTCAACCAGACCGTCGGTATTCTTGGTGTCTCTTTCTACGTTCTCGGTTTCGCTACTGGTCCGACACTATGGGCGCCTCTGTCCGAGTTGAAGGGCCGTAAGCTTCCTCTGGTTATCGGCATGTTCGGTATGGCGATCTTCAGTATCGCCACCGCTACCGCCAAGGACCTCCAGACCATCCTCATCACTCGCTTCTTTGGTGGCTTCTTCGGCGCTTGCCCGCTGGCTGTCGTCGCTGCTGTTTTCTCGGACATGTTCGATAACAGGACGAGAGGTATTGCCATCACCTTGTTCTCCATGACTGTCTTCACTGGTCCCATGATGGCTCCCTTTATTGGTGGCTTCATTTCGACCTCGTACCTTGGCTGGCGCTGGACTGAGTACATTGTCTCCTTCATGGCCTTCCTCGCTTTCGGCCTGGATCTCCTCTTCATGAACGAGACCTACCCTCCCCAGATTCTGGTCAAGAAGGCCTCCGAGCTCCGCCGCCGCACCCTCAACTGGGGCATCCACGCCAAGCAGGAGGAAATCGAGATTGACTTCAAGGAGCTTATCCAGAAGAACTTCTCGCGTCCCATGCGCTTGCTCTTCGGCGAGCCCATTGTCGCCCTCCTCTCCATCTACATGTCCTTCATCTACGGTATCCTGTACCTCTTCCTGACGGCCTACCCCATGGTCTTCCAGGGTGTCTACGGCATGACCCCCGGTGTTGCCGGCCTCACCTTCTTCGGCATGATCACTGGCCAGATCCTCGCCGGTGTCACCATCCTTCTGCAGCAGCCGTGGTACATGCGCAAGCTCAACGCCAACAACGGTGTACCCATCCCCGAGTGGCGTCTCCCCAGCGTCATCGCCGGCGGTGTCGCCTTCTCCGCCGGTCTCTTCTGGTTCGGCTGGTCTGGCTACAGCGGCAAGGTCCACTGGATCGTGCCCACCCTCTCCGGTATCCTCTCCGGCTTCGGTCTGGCCTCCATCTTCCTCCAGGCCCTCAACTACCTGGTCGACTCGTACCTCATGTTCGCCGCCTCCGCCATCGCCGGTAACACCTTCCTCCGTTCGCTCGCCGGTGCCGGTTTCCCTCTCTTCTCCACCTACATGTTCAAGGGCATGGGTATTGAGTGGGCTTCCACCCTGCTTGGCTGCGTTGCCGCCGCGCTTGTTCCCATCCCCATCATCTTCCTCTACTACGGTGCTCGCATTCGCGCCAAATCCGCCTACGCTCCCACTTTCGCGCCCAGGGCTGCTGTTGAGGACGAGAGCGGTGATGAGACCAACTCTGATCATGCCGTCGGCGAGAAGGAGCAGCCTTCGGGTGTGCCCAGGAAGAGTGGCGATGCCGCTACTAACGCTGTTTAAGCGGTGGTAGTTGGATGGTCAACCACAAAAAGAAACACAAAAACAATGGTCTTATGAGGACCATACCCAACACTACAAAGTCACCAAAAACCGGTCTTATGAGGACACCAAAACACATACCGACGAAAGCTGTCTTATGAGGACAGTTCACACAACATTCACGAACACACACGGTCTTATGAAGACAAGAGATGATACGAAATCCTGAAGAAACGAATTACAAAAAAGTTTCTTCTGGCTTAGGTGTGCGTACGCAACAAAAAGCATCATTCTGGAATTTTTTTTACGAGCAACAACGGCGTTTTTTGTTTTTTTTTTGCTATCTTATTTTGGCTTTTTTTCACTTCTTTTTACATATATCTTGGACTGGCTTGTTTGTTTGGAAACAACTATAAGCGAGACTTGATTACCTATACCCACACATAGCATGAGAAGCAGTATTTAGTTTTGATCTTCATTCGAAAAGAGAAGATTGAGAGGTGGAAAGCTGAGAGAAAAGAGCTGGGGATGATGGATGGATAGGTGGATAGGTGGATGACATTAAGTAATGTAGTAATTGGACGAAGATAGCGAAGAGGTACGGCTTAGCTTAGGTTAGCCTGGCTGCCTCTGGCAAGAGTGATGAATAAAGAAGCAATAAGTCAAACTGGTGGTGTTTCCAAACTGGTGGTGACTCCGAACACAAGTGAATGGAGTGACACGTTGCTGCGCTTATATTGCTCTTGGTAGGAACTGCTTGCTTGTGTGGGATGTTAGTAATTGTATGACCGTGTTTGATCACACTACAGCCATCTGCAAGAAAAAGAAACGCAATATCTCATCGTTACTTCGAACGGAAATTTAGACAACCCCTCTACCTAAAGTAAGTGGTTATGAAGGCTTATTAAATGCAGATGATTCCTCCTACGAAGCTTGTTCTCTGGTACTTAGCATCTCTCCTACTCCTCTAACCTTTATCTTTATTTTCTTCTGCCTTTCCTCCTTATTCTGTTTCTACTAGCAGTACATTCCCTCTTTACCCTGATTTCTTGCTGGTCAGCGACCGTTGTCAGCGTTTGGCTTGTGAGTGTCTCGATTGAGACACCTTGGGCTAGCTAACACGGGAGAAAATTGCCAACTTTCCATGATACCTTTTTCGGCCTCGCTCAAACCCGTCCATTGTGTCTAAATACTTAGTCTAGTCTTTAGACCTTTGGGTCATGCATCGTAGATAGGTAGGACCCTCGCTCAAATCTCACGACGTGGGAACAAGACCACTTCCATCAGCGCAAAACTCGACAGGTACAACAGCATTGAACTGTGGACACGACACTTCACGATAAATCATAAGTAAAACACCGGGTCTCGCTGTCATATGCGCAAGTTTCTTAGAGGTGAAGTAATCTTTCCCAGCTTCTCACTGTCATTTGTACGTAGGATCAACTTTGCTTGGTTGCTTTCTTATGCCACTATCCAGCCAGAGGTGCTTCCACTCGGACCCGGAGTGGCTCAACGGCTCAAGCCCTCTCATCTCCATCGCTCCTTCCCTACCTACCTACCAAGGGCAAATAAGGTACCCCTCCTCCAACCCCACCCGTTCCTCCGAACGTTCGTTCCTTCCTTTTACCCTCCGTTCGTCCCTTCCTCCACGCAACGTGCTTTCCATCCTTCCTTCCTTCTTTCCTCATCGGCAGCCCACACCCATCCAAATCACATCCGACACCGGACACTCAGCAAACAACACTCCCACTTGCGTCGCCGCACCTTCCCTAACCTGCCTTACTCTCTACGTATCTTCCATCCCAGCCCTTTAGAACCCCCCCTTTCATACCAGACATTCAACAAACAAGCCACCAGAAAAAGCGCGGTTAGTGTAGTGGTTTAGCACTCTCGTTTCCCAGTTCTCCCTCAACTGCAGTGGAAGAATAACGAGGGGCCCGGGTTCGAACCCCGGACTGCGCATCTTCTTTTGCTTCCTTTTTGCTCTCCATGTTGAAGATAATATGTTCTAGAAATAACAGATCATCCCTAGGTATGTGGTCAAGTCAATTCATGGTCAATCAGTCTTCAAGTCTATGTGTTAGGCTATTACGGTCGAGTGTCCATCTATCTATCGCCGTCGGACGTTTTGGATAACGAGCTGGATTGCCTGCCATACCTCTCGCGTGAGCAAGCATCAACGGCAATGTAAGTAACTTTTATGAAGTCAAAGGACGATGTCCATGTTCATGATGAACGGTAGAGAGTGCCACTTACTTCTTTCAGCTTAAAGGAGAAAGCCACACAGGCTCGAAATCTTGGCGGACTACGGAAACATTGAGCCGTGAACAAATGTAGACTCTTCAGAGAGTAGGTAGCGGGACACTGACTGCCATGACCATTTCCAACCCCGTCTACTTAATCGTAGTTAGGTACCTGATCATACGCGACAGAATCCTTGATATATCTTCATCATGGGGCATCTAGGGAGAAATTCAATGTTGTTCTGGCACTTTGGTGCTGCTTCTCTTATGCTATGCAGGCCTTTGATAGAAGATCAGAATGGAAGATCAGGAATGAATTAAGCTGGAATAATGGCGTAGGGGTCGTATCAATGCTTTTTCTCTAGCCCAAGGCATGACGATGACTGAGGGTGTCAACATGGGGCCTGTACTGCACCGGCGGTGAGGGTATCCTAGGAATATAGACTCCGATGATATCTGCATGGGCTTGCTTGAACGGAATCTTGGAGGGCGGATAAGGCAGGCAGCGGGCGAGTAAAGCACAAGGCATTGAGAAAAAGGTAAGGAAAAGAAAATAGGTTCATTGCTACCGTGGTATCATCATCGTAACATCCCTCATCTACCAACATCGTCAGACCTGCGTAACTTCCATCCTCCCATTCAAATATCCCCAATATCCATCATACTCTCCTTCCCTTACTCTAGAATCCATTTAGCTCTCAACAGCCAAAGCCCTAACACCAACCAGCAGCTTCCCATCAGGGCTTACGCTAACAACCCAGTATTCCACCCTCACGCTGTCCTTCTTAACGCGGTACACCATCACGGTCTTTCCCTCGCTCGCTTCCGTCACCGCGTCGATCAGGTCGGTGTAATCCCCGTTGCGGTCCCAGTCGATAGGATCGGAGATCTCGATCTCGGCATCGGCGGGGGAGGGGTGGTTGATTAGGGAAGCGAATTTTTCTGTGTTTTCATTATGGTCAGCATCTGTTTCCCCATCCGTTTTCTGTCCGTTCCGCTCGTCGTCCTCTTCCCACCTTCCCTCCCTTCTCATTTTACCGTTCACACCCTTCACCACCCATCATCACTCTCCAGGAATAGAGTATCACTAACCTTCATCAGGCAAACTTCCCCCGCCATACTTAAGCGCAACCCCCTCAAACGGCTCATCCGCATCGCTAACATAGAACTTATCCCCCTTATCCAACAACTTGGCGATCGGGCTCGGAAGATCAACGTCCTCATCGCGCGTCTTGAACCCGTTTCCGCCAACTTTTTGCGTGGCCGGGTCCGGACGGTCGCGCGGGTAGCCGACGCTGGGATCCTCGTTGGCTTTGTTGAGGAAGGCCATGTAGGAATCGTCTGAGGCCATTTTTGATGTCGTGGTAGTTAATGTGCGCTTGGTGGCAGTAGTCGGAAGAGTAGATGTTAATGATGCGATATGTGTAGCAGTGGTGGCGCGCAAGATCGGGACTGCGAGGAGTCGTTGAGCAGCTGGTCTTTGTAGTCGAAGAAGCGTAGAAGCAGAAGCCGAGGCGGATGTTGACCGAGAGATAAACAATCCAGCGGATGTCTGTGATGTTCGAGAACGAGCTGGTATTAGCTTTTGTTGTTCTTCGAGGAATTTGGTCGGATTCAAGAAGAAGCGACTAGAAATAACTGAGTAAGGGTCAGGTTCGGGGAAGAGTTCAGACCATAGTTGTGTGTGTTGTTTGGAGGAGGGATGCGCGGAAGGAAGGGACGACGACGATGACAATCAGATCGGTCAGGTAGGCTGTGTGGCCGGTGGGATGCGCAACCAACGAACGAAGGGTCCGATGATGTAACCTGCAGTAGCTGAAAACCAATTAGGAATGGTGGATCGGACATTGGGCTAAGAGCGGGGTGGAACCAACCAATAAGATGTCGGCCGGCTGGTTGAGGTCGATCAGGCTTTGATGTTGAAGACTCAACAACATCCGTGGACGCCGTGAGAACTCGGAGACCACTGAGGGAAGAGAAGGAGGTCTAAACTGGTTGCATGAGCACTTGAAGGTGCTGAAGAAGGCAACCAAAAAACATAGAGGGCACCGAGGCAGTCGAAGTGCGCGAGGTAGGAAGTCGATGAACACTTGGCAGAACAAAGACGAGCAGTTTCCATCACAGCCAAACTGACAATGGGAAGATCGAAAGCAGGCTTGATTCAAGGATGAGATTGGGTAGATGTAGTACAGTTGACCGTTTGTTCATCTAGTCAGAGGCAAAGCAGCCGAACGCAGATATCACAAGGAATGCTTGAGCATGTCGTCCTCAGACAAATCTCACTAAGAACTGTCCATCAAAATCCATGCCAAAGCGAGAAATATTCACGAGTCCACATCATATCACATTTGAATTCGAAACAAGATACTCTTTGACAGTACATGGGATCAACGTTTCATTGTTCTTCAACAGCTTTTTATTAAGCCGTAAATGCTAGGTATAGTCCCAATTCCCGAACCTGACCCGAAAGAGCAACGAAAAAACCTTGACACCAATGCAACCCAAGGAACAAGGAAATCAACTGCAGCAGCCAATTTACGAGCTGGCAGCGAGATCCTTCTTGAGGGTACCCTGGTACTGCTTCTTCTCGGCAGGGGTCTGGAAAGCACCATGACCGAACTCCGAGGAGGTGTCGATCCACTTGAGCTCGACCTTCTCGAGGGCCTTGCGGGAGGTGTGGATGAACATGGACTTGCGGAGAGTCATGACTCTCTTCTTGACACCGGGAACGGAGCCCTTGACCATGACGAAGTCGTTGTTGATCTCGCCGTAGCGGACGAAGCCACCCATGCTGGATAAGAGTTAGTTTTGCGTTCTTCGCCTTGACAACATGTGGGAATACGTACGGGGTGATCTTCTTCTTGGTGACATCGACCTCGGTGGCAGCAGAATCCTCAGCACCGGCCTTGCCAATGCGGTAGATCTTGTGGTTGACCGAGGTACGGTGGTGGTAACCGGCCTGACCAGCGCGGGCAACAGTCCACTGGACGTGGGAAGGATGCCAAGCACCGATACAAGCGACCTTGCGGAGACCCTTGTGAGTCTTGCGAGGAAGCTTCTTGGTGCCCCAACGAGCGGTGACACCGGTGAAACCGTGACCCTTGGTGACGGCAATGACGTCGATAACCTCGTCCTTCTCGAAGATGGAGTCGATGGAGACGGGCTTCTCGAAGAGGCCGTGGCCGAACTCGACCTTGTCGGCGATGGAGCCACCGTTGATCTGGATCTCCATAAGGTGGGCCTTCTTCTGCTTGAGGGGAGTCTTGCGGATCTGGGTGTGGGCAAGAACACGGACGACGGTGCAGTACTTCTTGATGCGCTCGAGCTCGCGGGTGATGGCGGCACCGTTGTTGTCGGAGTGCTTCTTGACGTACTTGGTGAAGGCCTTCTTCTTGGACTTGTACCAGTTCTTGTAGAAGCGACGCTTGACCTCGTCGGACAAGTGCTCAGCCCAGACGGTGGTGAGGGAGCGGAGACCGCGGGGAGTCTCGATGTACTAATATCGGGGTTAGATTCACACGGTCGCGGTAGGCCATAAACGGCAGCTGGACAGGATCAAAGACTTACGCCGACCAGACCCACAACGATCATCTGCAAGAGATGTTAGCCATTGACACAAAAAGAGCCAAGCGGGCTGCGTTGTACGTACAGGAGGGGTATCAATGATGGTCACAGCCTCAACGACCTCCTTCTTGTGAGCCTTGGCGCCGGGGCGGTCCATGTCGCGGACGATGGTGGTCATGCCAGCCTTGTAGCCCATGGCGGCGGTAAGGTGGACGGGCTTCTTGGCATCATCCTTAGGGAACCTGTTGTAAACGAGCAACTGGTCAGCCTGTCTGTTCGCAAACGCTATTGCCCCCAAGTTCCAATCGCAAGATTCAAACTGATGGCGATAGTGCTGTCGATAGTACCAGAAGATGATGAGCTTGACTTACGACTTGACCTTTCCCCTGTGGCGGGCCGCGCGCTTGCGGGGAAGGTAGGCCAGCGAACCGTGGCGGGGAGCCTCGTACTCTGAAGCATCGAGTCAGCATAACGGACGTTCAGGTTGCCATGAAGTCCATGTCCAAGTCGCGATCACGCAAGCTCCCAAAATCCAGTCGCCAAAAAGTCGAAAATTTTCGATATCGCGACGACCGTCTCTCGGGAAAAGCTGCTCCATCGTTCTTTCGAATTCGGGATTGCGTGGGCGAAATCGACAATGACCATGTCTGTTTCTGTTGGCGACGACGACGACGACGACGAGGCGTTACTTACTACGGTGAGACATGACTGCTGATGATCCCAAGTACCCGGGTTGTTGATGGTCGAGTGGGAAAAAGTTCACTACCGCGAAAACAAAAATCAAGAAGTATCGCCAGGGAAATTGGACCACCCAAAATTTTGTGTGAGTGGTGTGGATTGGACCGTGCACGGGCCCCAATTGTAGCGGAGCCCTAACTTTTGCGCGTGCCCTGTCCGCCTTCCTGTTCTCCTCGAGGCCGCCCAGCCAATTAGTGATGCCCAGCCAAGACCAGACCATTCCACCCCACAGAAGCAGCCTGGTACACTTAGTCAGCTTCGCGTACCGTTCACTAGTCGCACACTGATGACAAGGTAAAGTCCTGTTGATATGGTAGAACGTGACGTGGACGACTCCTGTGTATAAGTTCGTCATGGTCGCCGTCTTCGTAAGACATAGTCCACTGATAACATTTAAGATTCAATACATCTTGCCCTTCTCCTCATATTTACTTTACCACCTATTGATTCAGTCTGGCAGAAACGTTCCTCCGTGTGTTGAGCCGAACCTCCGTTGTGCCTCCGCATAAGTTCGTCTTGATCGCAGGACTGCTGATTCTCTGAGTTTGTCGTCAACGCCCACGGTGTCAACAAGATCAAGCTCTGGTGATTCCGAAGGTCGAGTAGCATTGTGGGATCAGACATCACCATTTCTCGGGGTTTCCAGGTGCTTCTCCGATCCAGGACGACAACGTAAAAGTTGTCATCTGTTGGACCACTCTACGACTCTATGTTGTGGGCAAAGGCATGGATAACAGCGTCCTAACCACGAGACACGTGGGCTGGCTTGTGACAATCGTAACAAGGCTGGTATGCAGGCATGGTCAAAGGCGTGTTGACTGCAGGGAACAACCAGGAAGGCATTGGATTCCATCTCCTTGACCCTTCAGGCCGATGTGCCTTTCAAGCATTTCAACAACACCATGTCCCGTACGGTCAATCATCACGACCTTTCGATTCCGATTTGAACAGTATAACAACAGTCGTAATCATGTTCTCTAACTAGCCTCTATGGCAACGCAGCGAGTTCGCTCCCGCCTCTTGAAGGATATTCCCACTCCCTTCTCGCTATCGACTTTCCAACAAATGACATACACACGCTTCTATTCCAAACACAAGTCATAACAGTGTATGTACATCGAATTCCCCTCCTTCCTCTCGCTCCTCATCCCTTACTAGTCGGTCAGAACGTAGTAAGACCGGGCAGTTCGTGCCCATGAGGTTTTGAGCTTCATAGGCCCTTCTGTCTCCGTCATCCATATGTGTGATATGGTAGTCTACGGTCTTGGACTACTTGAAACAAACAAGGCAACGTAAATCCCCACCGACAAAGAAAACTCTCATGATATCCACAAGATTTCTGGTTTCTCCTGCCTCTGTCGCATCTCAAGCAAATACTCCGACCGGGTCTTGTCTCTCACGCAGAAGCCCCGAATACATGACAAATGACGTAATCAGTTGCTTTCCGACTTTTGCCCCATGATGCCGTTGAAGCTACCGCTCGTCGAGGGGCCGTTCTTAGAATCCCGCTCGTTTGCTGCAGGACCGGATCCGGACGAAGGACCGGGAAGAATACCGCCCTTCTTATCCTCCTCTCCGCTATCGTCATAGTCCTCGTCAACATCCATTTTACGGGCCGCACGCTCAGGCTCATTGACGACAGGGGGGTGCTGGGCCGGAGGATGATCCATCCGTCGGTCTTCGGGGGCGGGCTGATGGGCTGGGCCTGGGCCTTGCTGTTGAGGTCCGGGGCCTTGCTGCTGGGGTCCGTGGCCCTGCTCGTGGATGAGGTTCTGCATCGGTGCCGGACCTTGCTGCATCGGTGGCAAATGGGCAGAGGCAGAGTGAGACTGGGGATGGTGAGCGGCCTCCGAAGGGTGGTATCCCTCATTTTGGTGCCGTTGCTCCTCAGCCCGGCGCATCTCCTCCATGCGACGCTGTTCCTCAACCCGGCGCTGTTCATCAACCCTACGGGAATCTTCCATGCGGCGCTCATCGAAGCGACGAGCCTCCGACGAGTTGCGGCGAGCATAGGGTGGCTCCATTCGAGGAGGGCTCATCGAGGGGCGGCGATGCCTATGGTCATCCATACGAGCACGAGACTCCTCCGTTGCAGGCTTCTTCACCTCCCGTTCATCTTCCCACTCACGCATTCTCTTGGGACCAACCGAAGAAGGGCGAGGATCATGCTCCCTCTGATGAGGAGGCTCACCGGCCATGCCTGGCTGAGGGGGGTGAGGAGGGCCCTGCTCAGGGCCACCAGGACCGCCCTGCTCACCATGCGGAGGATAAGGTGGCTGATGCTGAGGATAGGCTGACTTGGGAGATGGCATGCGGTTCTCGTGCATATGGGGTGGTCTTCCCGGGCCATCCGTCCTCGGACTGTTGTTAAAAT